AGTGAATAGTAAGACAACTGTATGTGCAGGTGATGCGAAATTACTTAGGGTGGTTAGAAGAACTCCAAAAGAAGAGCTCCAAAATGACATCTCAAGACGAGGAGACTCAGCACTAATACGGCAAATGGCATTCAGTGTCAGCAAGTGTATAGTGATGCATACTGGGGCAAAAAGTCCTAACCTGATATCCCCTGTTTCCCCGAAAATAAGACCTAACCTGAAAATAAGTCCTAGTATGATTTTTCAGGATGCTCGTAATATAAGCCCTACCCCAAAAATAAGCCCCAGTTAAGTGAAACACCACCCTCCACCATTGTGCAGCAATCAAAAGATGACATGACTGTAAAATAAAACATCCCCTGAAAATAAGCCCTAATGCATTTTTGGAGCAAAAAATAATATAAGACCCTGTCTTACATTGGGGAAAACACGGCATTACAGTCCAGCATGGAGGAAACTAATGCATGAGCAAACAAAGCTAGATCCAGCTACTCTAGAGAGTAATACATCTGATATATAAGCCAGAGTAGTAGAATACATGCCTGGCCACTGTCACTACCTGACACTGTCCAGACAGTAACAATGTCAGAAACATAATCAAATATGTTCCTGATTCTTGAAGAGAAATACAGTCCTACTGAATCAACTGAGACATAACACTTTAATTCTATACTTGCTCAAATGGATCAGAAAGTGTAGGCAGTCATCATAATGAAAGTTTAGCTATTGTATTCTCCCAAAGTATTATTCCTGCTTGTTCAGCAAACATATTTAAACTTGAAATACATACTTAGTGAAAACCACAGCATATATCATTTTTCAATGTCAAGAGTTCTGAAATATATACGTAAACACTAGATGGAGACTTGCAGTAAATCATACATAAAAGGGCAATTTACAGAAGAGCTTAACTGCCTCTGAATTCGTATAACATATTTATCTATAAAAGGGTAGCTGAAATGTATACAATTTAGATTCTTTTATAACTGCTTCAGATTCTTAAATATAACTTTTAAAAGCCTTCCCATTCATCCTTGGTAGCTGAGGAAAAAAAGACAATCTTATAATCGTATAAAGACCCTGTTTTCTTGTCACCTGAAGAAACAAGTGTTTTATCTGGGTGATCAAAAACATGTGAAAATTGAAGAAATATGTTTTTACAGTCAAATTCCTTCAATAAAATGTGCAGGGAAGGGAGAGGATGAAAGGTATAGAACACCAGCATGCTTTATACTGGAGGTCACTCAATAACTCTTGTGTTTAATAGGAAACACAGACCTGTCCGGAATTGTTTGGGTGCTAGTTTATACTGATGACATCCTCAGTGTATATGGCAGTTGAAGTATCTGAGGCACAGATCATGCCAATTGTGATAGCCTTGAAAAGTCATCTGAGTAGCTTAATCTATGGTTAGCACAGATGTAGGAGCAACCTGAATTTCATCATGTATATAACTTTAAATGATGCCATGTCCATGTTGGATGAAACACACATGTAGTAAGATGTCTGTAGCCTGTATAGTTCTTTGTATCCCACCACTTTATAATTCTTTGGGTGCAGAGAATGCAATGAAGTTCTCAGGCTGTACAAATGTATTTAGGCTTTGTTTAAGCAAGTAATATCACCACAGGTTGACATCTGAATGACCTGGCTCAGACATAGCAAGATGAAGAATTTTATAAAGATCACTATATTTTGTTAATAATTTGCCTTGCGAACTAATGCTCCTGTGGAAATCTGCTCTGATATATATTTGTATGAATTTACTAGGAAGCATTCCAACATTCCTTATTAAAATGGTTTCTACCACAGATGTTTTTGAAAAGAAATAGTAGACAACAAATGTTAAGCTGGAACCTAATGTGAATTTGATAATGTGAATTCAGAACACTGATCAATTATATAGGTACCAAGAGATAATTCAGTCTCTTCTATTTCCCTTCTCTGTATATCTGGAATAGTCATGATCAATATTTCTTTTTAGAATTTATTTATTTGATTTATATACGACCCATCTGACAATAAGACAGAGTATAAATAAATCAAAACAAAATTAAACAAATGAAAATAATATCAGTAAACATTAACATGAAAAAGGAAAAGGAAAAAGATAACAGGGTTGAACAATAAGTTGAATCAAGATAGAGAAGAGTCCGGGAAGGCCTGTCTAAAAAGGAATGTTTTTCATCATTTCTTGAAAGTTCACAGTGAGGGCTCCAGAATGATGAAAATAAAGCATGCTGCAAGAAAGGTTGCTACTAAAACATAAGTAAACCTGAGGGGCCAATCTATACTATCAAATAAACAGAATCAAGATTGATAGTTCATTCTTGAGCCACGACAAAAAAGAGGCATAATCAAAACACTGGTAGACTGTGCAAATCAAAACTGTAAAACTCAATTTCTCAGCACCAAACTCAACCATCTGAATTGGGACCTACCAGCAAATGGTTATTCCAAGAATGAAATCATAAGAGCCATCAAACCGAGAAAACAACACCAAACTGAAGAAGAAAAACAGCCACCCACAAATAAAGCATTTCTGCCATACATCAAAGGGGTCACAGACCACATGGGGAAGCTTTTGAAAAAACAACAACACAACCTACAAACAGTATTCAGGCCCATCACAAAAATACAACAAATGTTACGGTCAGCAAAGGACAAAAGGGACCCCCTCACCACTGCAGGAGTATACCGGGTGCCTTACAGTTGTGGCGAGGTATATATTGGGATCACAAAACACAACATCTACACCAAAATCAAAGAACATGAAAGACACGGCAGACTAAAACAACTGGAAAAATCAGCAGTAGCTGAACATGCCCTGAAACAAGCTGGGCATGAAATCCGATTTCAAAAGACAGAAGTACTGGACAACACTGGTAATCATTATGTTAGACTACACAGGGAAGCCATCGAAATCCACAAACGTCAGCAGAGCTTTAACAAAAAAGAAGAAAGTCTAAAACTCAACAAAACCTGGCTCCTAGCACTGAAAAATACAGCCTGCAAAAAGGTCAACAAACTCTACCCAACCACAAGGACTGGTGATCACTGCACACAAAAGACAAGCTAACAACACCCATCAATCACAAGGACAAATCATCTTCCCCCTTATCACAACAATATGCCCATAACAAAAAACACCCTGATCACCATAATCACCCAATCTCCTGAAAAGGAGAAAAAGCTGATCCCACAGCTACAAATACTCAACTATCCCACACACTACACCAGAATACAGACAAAGTTCTAATTCCTGTCTTCTGAAGATGCCAGCCACAGAGACTGGCGAAAAGTTAGGAAGAAAAACCTCCAGAACATGGCCAAACAGCCTGAAAAACTTACAACAACCATCAGATCCTGACCATGAAAGCCTTCGAGAATAAAGAATCAACATTAAAAATTCTACTGCTTATCTGACAGAACTTTTAAAAAAACAACACAATATTTATTTTAGTTTAGATAGATGTTTGAAATATATAATATCTTAGCATTTGAAAACCAAGTCTAGTATGCTCTGGTAAAATGAATGTGAATGTGACACTTGCATTTACCTACTGAGTCAGTGAGGCAGGCAACAATTTGCCTAGATGTGCAAATTCAGTCCAACTTAATCCCTACATGCATATGAAGTTATTCACTGTCATCCACCATTCACTGTAAATTCAGACATCTTTCCATTTTATTTTTCTATTTTGTCATATATGGCATGTCTACAGAACTTAGTAACACAAAGAAAAATTCCAAACAATACAATTTATCTTCAAAGAGATAAAAGGTAACTGATAAAGATGATGGACATTATTTTGTCTTTCACTTAAGAACATTTATTTTTGTATCATCATCAGTCCAATACAAAATCCTAAAGCAATACCAAATGGTAATTGCTTCTACAGAGCACTGAGCCTTTTTCAAAGTAAGGTAAAAAGGATCCCTCTCAATTTCATATATTTTTATTTTAGACATCCACTACAAAAAATGTATAGACAATCTTTTTTAAAAAAAGAGAGAGAGAGAACACAATCCATCACATGAATCCAGAATTCTTCTAAAGATTTTGGACTGGAGACAGATTTAGAGAACTGGGCTCATGAAAAGGAAGAATTCTCACAGTAGACAATTAAAAATGCTCTACAGAAGATTATGGGACCTTGCTGAATCAGTTGAGATGCAAAGTAAGGAAGATGGGATTTCTGGCAATGGATGGAGAGACCTTTCATGAGTGTTGTCTTTGTGTCAAAAAGACTGTCGATCCATCCCTTGTGTTTGGTGTTCAGAATCATGGAGATGTCCAGACCCCTTACCAGGCTTCATTAAGAATCCTGAGATTACAGTTTTCCTTTACAAGAGGTCACAAACATGATGGTCTTCCCACATCCATCCTTCAACAGGGGCATTACCCTCAGAACAACCTTGTGAGATATATTATGCATAAAGATAGAGGCTGACCTGACAATGAGTTTCACAGCTAACCTGAGATTTGGCTTTTGCTTCCTTGTGCTAACAACATGCTGTTCACTATACAATATTGGCTCACAGACACAAGTAATGAGACAAAACAGGAAAATGTGTAATGTATGTTTTAACTGTCTGAAAATAGAAAATAAAAACTCCACTTGTTAGGTTTTCAAAGTCCATGATTTCAATGTGCAGGTAATAATCTTAAAAGACCTGAAATGGGTATACTGAGACAGGTTATCAACATTACTACCAATATTTAGCAATATAATATTCACAGTATTTGAAGCACTGCTTCTGATACTGTCTTCATCATCGAATAAATTGTCTGCCCTTAAATTACCGTACCATTCCAACATTAAATGCAGGTGTGCTGATTTATTTTCCAAATTACTTTTTGTATGTTATTATGGTTCTATAAGACTATTAAGTGCAAGGAAAAATGAGCTTTTCATAGCAGATGTCTATGAAAGAAATCTAAAAGGCATGAATTCTCATTATGAAACTACCTTTACATAAACGAAAAATCTTCTTACCGAATTGATCCAATCATGTAAGGCTGTGCCAGCTGCACTACGATAGCACCGCTGCCTAACTGATGGCATGTATAGCCAGAATCCCAGTCATAATTCTTTGTGTCTCCATTCAACAGGGCATTGCGACTTCGGCTTACACCTTCAATCACGCTGGCACAATCTGCAACTGTTGCAACATTCTCTGTAGGAACTGAAAATTAAAAGACAAAAGAGATCAAAGTCAGGCATGGACAACTGGATGCCATCAGTTTATATTTCTGGAGAAGAATACAAATAAGAAAAAAAAATCCTTGCAAAGTAGTATATCGGTGCACATTTCACAACATGGATTAAACATGAATTAGCAATGAATAAGCTGTCTGAATCAGAGCAGGTCAACTATTTTTCAAGGCCAAAGCTGCCGCAGAAGAAAATGTAATGCACTATAAACAAATATTCAGATACATTCACATCACAATTGTTTTGGTTCATCGCTATGATTTAGAGTCAGTAAATACTCTGCAAAAGAAGGGCATTATGATGTTTAGACAGTATTGGGAGGAGGTGGTACAAGTAATCATTCAATCTCATAACAAATGGATCATTACTAGGGACATAGTATAAGAGTAGTTATTTTCAAGAGGTCCTCCTTATTCAAACATTTGAAATTCATTCATTCATTCATTCATTCATTCATTCATTCATTCATTCATTCATTCATTCATTCATTCATTCATTCATTTGATTTATGCCCCACCTATCTGGACCACCGAACCACTCTAGACGGCTCCCAATATAAAATCAGACAATAAAAACACAAACAAATGCATAATAATACAACTACAACTACAATAAGATAAAGAATAAGTAAAAAGAAGAAAAAGAAAATCAAGAATTGGCTGGAGGGAAGGCCTGAATGAACAACCATGTTTTTAATTGGGTTTTAAAGATGCCCAGCGTAGGGGCCACACGGATCTCTGGAGGGAGATTGTTCCAGAGGCGAGGAGCCACCGCCGAGAAGGCCCGGTTTCGTGTCTTCTCCTTCCGGGCCTCTCTCGGCGTCAGGCTCCTCAGCCTCACCTCCTGACTCGCGTGAGTGATCCGGGTAGACCTTGGTGGGAGCAGGTGTTCCACCAAATATCGAGGTCCTAGGCAGTTTATATAAACATAAATATATATTTTAAAATAAGCAAGACACGTAATCAAAAGTTACAATAACAGATACGAAATAAAGAAAAAGGAAACAACCAATGAAACAGATTATAATGGTGTGTACACTTAATAATTTAAGTTACTTCTGCATCCTGTTTTACTTAATGCACCATGTTGCCTAAATATTATACTCCATGCCAGAAGTCTACAGCCATGTGCACAACTGGACACATTAACAGGCATGCTACTAGTATGTGATATAGACTTCATCAATATACTGTGGTGACTACCATGTCTTGCTTTCACCCATGGCTAAACAATGATCTGGCTAGATAGCTAAGTGGCTTAGGTATCTGGCTGCAGAGCCAGAGGTTGGGAGTTTGATTCCCCACAGTGCCTCCTGCGAGTAGAGCCGGCCTGTACAATCCCAGAGCACTCCCAGAAGAGGGGAACAGTAAACCACCTCTGAAGATTCTCTACCTGGAAAACCCTGAAAAGAATCTCCATATGTCCAAATTGACTTGATGGCACATTATTGTTATTGTTAAACAACCAATAAGATTCTGGTCTGTGTGATGAGGACTGTAATCAACGTGCCCTCCAATTTTTTGCTAGGTGGGACTCCACCTTTCTCTTGGGCAACTTCTCCCCTGCATGCATGCGGGATTCCATTGCAATCAGAACCAAAGAGACTGTGCAGAAGGAGGCAGAGTCATGCAGGTGTGCACCTTTGAGGAAACCTAGACTATAAAATCTCCCACTGAATTACACTGGTAATCTTAAAGGTGCCACAATATTGGCTTTTTTCTTTTTGTTGTTGTTTTGTTTGTTAAATAACAAAAGAAAAGTATATTAAATATTAAACAGACAAAAAAAGAGGGACAACTTTATCTTCGTATTCGTCTAAAAAATAAGAATGCTAATTTCTATATAAATTTATCACATTTTGGATTACACTTTAAAATATCCACAAGGTAACATAAGCAAATACAATGATAGTTCTACGTTAGGAAAAGCCTCTGTATATTACACTAATGACGGACCATATGAATACAAAGCATTCAAATTTATATTGCGAAAGCAAGATACAGTCTTTTGTGCAAGGAATTTGACTCATTCAAGTGAGAGCTTGGAATGCAACCTCAAAAAATAATTTGTTACATAACTTTTTGATGGGCTACCGACACGATTTCTCTAGATTGGGTTGAGCATTACAATACTCGTGATGCTGTTATTTCTGTCATGCGACAGGACACTGCTCCTTCCTTTAGGTGAGAGTTGCTTTATCTTCCTAAGACAATGGTCTGTCAGTGTTCATAACAGCAGAGGATCCCGTTTTCTGATGTACCACTATTTAAAATACTGCTTTCCCCCTTGAGCCTATCTATGTCATATAGATGTGCTTTTTGGAGAAACTTTTATAAGTTCAACAGGAGAGAAGAAAAGTGGAACACTGTATGTTACTGTTTTTACACTGTGTTTTCAATGTGTTTTAAAACCAGTCTTTTGAATACTACTGTACATTGGATTTTAACATTGTAAAAATGAATTTTAATTTGCATTCATTCTTTTAATCCATGGTTTAGCCACCTTGGGACCCTGTATTAGAGTAAAGGTGGCATAGAAATAAAATAAAATAAATTATTTTCTAATTCTTTCTTTCTTACCAAACACTAGATAGCCAAGATGAGGGAATGCCTCATGTAAAAGAGGGAATGCTGTATTTTCTGTGGAACAATGCCTCATATCACTCTATATTGCCCTGACCCTCCAAAGGCTGGGCATCCTTCTCCACCCATCCCCAGCTGGTGTAAGGACGCAGTACCTCAGCACATTGGTTCCCCCTCCCCACGTATTGCACTTGCTTCCCTCACACTTGCTGTTCACCCCATGATGTCACAGGGACCCATCCTTATGTCTCAGATCTCAGTTACAAAATCTCAGGAACAGGACACTGCTTATCTGGGAACTCAGTAACAACTTACCAGAGAATATATCCCACTGAGTTGAGTTAGACGGCTATAGGGTAGCACTATTTGCTTCTTGCAATGTATGTGGGTGTGCCTTTAGATTTTGAACACACTAAGTAGCTTATTTTAAAATAAGGAAAGATGTCCACAGTCCTCTAAGCCTATGGCAACTGGAAGACTGCAAGTGAAGCCTGATGGCTGAGGAGCAAATAGCAGAGAAGAAGGACTACTGACTCAGCATTTTTAAAATGGAATGAGGTTCCTACATCTATCAGCTGCTAAGTGATAATTTCTGGCATGGGATTGTCCAGATCTGCTGAGATGGGTCTGGAGTTACCCATTGAGGGGGAAATGAATGGTCTGTAACTAACAAGAAAGAATTGCCATTCTTCCTTTATAAAAAAAAAGGTAGTTCATTATAGGTAACTAAATTCCTTGTAACAAGGTGCTTCTATACTTGGATTAAAGCAGGACATCATACATGAAACTAGAAATTTATTCAATCACATTAAATTCTCCATGGAGGCCTAGTTAGGCCTTTCCAATGCACTAACAAATAAGGAAAGATATTTCAGGAGGAAGTACAGATTCTTAGCTATTTCTGAGATCACAAGCACATATATATATTGCCTTAATGTGGTTCTACTAACTCAGTAACCAGATTTTTTTTTAAAAAAAACTGAATCTTTTAGTTGGTCGTTCATTTTCTCCTTGCTATCACTGATCAGGGAATTAGGGATCCAGCTTGTGCTGGATGAGGTTTCACTCTCCCTAAAAACACAGGAGCATAGCTTGTGTGTATTCCTGGATTCATCACTGAGCCTGGATGCCCAGGTTTTGGCAGTGGCCAAGAGTGCATTTACACAATTAAAAACTACTGCATCAGCTGCACCTATTCCTGAAGAAGTATGATCTGGTCATGGGGACCCTAGTCGGATTAGTGTAACATACTCTGTTTTGGAAGGTGTTCAGAAACTTCAGAAACTTTTAGAACTGGATATGGAACAACTGATTGGTTCAAAATTGGGAAAGCAGTATGACAAGGCTGTATATTGTCCCCCTGCTTATTCAACTTATATGCAGAATACATCATGCGAAAAGCAGGACTGGATGAATCCCAAGCCGGAAGCAAGACTGCAGGAAGAAACATCAACAACCTCAGATATGCAGATGATACTACTCTGATGGCAGAAAGTGAGGAGGAATTAAGGAACCTTGTAATGAGGGTGAAAGAGGAGAGTGCAAAAAACGGTCTGAAGCTCAACATCAGAAAAACTAAGATCATGGCCACTGGTCCCATCACCTCCTGGGAAATAGAAGGGGAAGACATGGAGGCAGTGACAAATGTTACTTTCTTGGGCTCCATGATCACTGCAGATGGAGACAGCAGCCATGAAATTAAAAAACGCTTGCTTCTTGGGAGGAAAGCGATGACAAACCTTGACAGCATCTTAAAAAGCAGAGACATCACCTTGCCAACAAAAGTCCGCGTAGTCAAAGCTATGGTTTTTCCTGTAGTGATGTATGGAAGTGAGAGGTGGACCATGAAGAAAGCTTAACGCCGAAGAATTGATGGTTTTGAATTGTGGTGTTGGAGGAGGCTCTTGAGAGTTCCCTGGACTGCAAGAAGAACAAACCTATCAATTCTAAAGGAAATCAACCCTGAGTGCTCACTGGAAGGACAGATCCTGAAGCTGAGGCTCCAATACTTTGGCCATCTGATGAGAAGAGAAGACTCCTTGGAAAAGACCTTGATGTTGGGAAAGTGTGAAGGCAAGAGGAGAAGGGGACGACAGAGGATGAGATGGTTGGACAGTGTC